GGGAAAGAAATATTACAAAATATTATAATAAAATAATTTGTCTTTTTATTCTAGATCATTTTCTCTTACAGTTCAGGTACACACCTGCAAATATCTCCCTACTTACAGGGGTTATGTGTGGGGTAAGGATATTCCCTTACATGAAGAAAGAAGTATTAATGGATCTTTAATTAGCTTAGTGAAAAAAAATCTGTAGTATGACCCTTACTTCTAGAGAAGATTGGTATGTCTTATTTTTCAGTGAGGTGGCTCAGGCATTGAAAAGCTTCCTTAAGAAACTGATCATGAGGAAAACATAACAAAGGTGGGCAGGGGAAAAGCAGATTTAAGTGGAACCTTATTTTGTTGTGTGTGAGGCACAATAACATATTATGCATTAGGTAAGGTAACTTTAATATTACTTTTCTTCAAAATACAAATTCACATGAAGTATTTTTTTTCTTGTCTCCTTTTTCAGTTTCTTCCTCCAAAAAAGCCATATTGGTCAGGTAAGGAGATAACAAATGTCACTTTAGATATATTGCAAGAATGAAAGTTTGAGTAAATGCTCAGAGGTATTGTTATGTGAGTAATGCTACAAGTATGTACATATAGGTTAAAATCCCTTTATTTTTTGATAAAATTCTCCATGCCTGCTTTTTAGTTGCTCTTAAGTGAGAACAAAAGCTCAATTCTGGCACCATTGAATAAAAAAGTTATCAGGACCAGGTTAAGAGTATCCTTGGAAGGGAAGAGTGGAACAGAATTGTGGCTGAAGGCAGTCCCTCTCAGAGCGGAGAGGTGCATGGGGAAAAAAAAATCAAAAAATATGAGACTACAAAAGGCACAGGTAACTCCCCAAAATTCTTCACCAAAACTGGAAATTAATAAACATAATTTTTGTTTTTAAAATAGTATTTTTAAAAATATGTCTCGAACAGGTGCCTGCTATGAAGTGATTTTTTTTCCTTCAGATAAATAAGACTTGTAATAATAAATTGTAATATGTGATAAAATTTACTTATTTGTTGCGTAGTATGTATAATGCAGGTACAATATAAAAATTGTATTTTGAGAGATTAAAGAAACTATTTTAATTATTTTTAAAACAGAATCGTGCCCAGAGTGCCACTGAGCTCTTGCAAGAATTGAATAATGATGTTTCTGGAAATTTTGTGGAAGAGGTTTGTTTTCTTATGTTATTTGTAGATTTTTTTGTTATACAATGTGGTGGAAGTATGGAATAATAGTTATATGTTCATTTTAATGTGGCAGTTTTAAGTACCTTAGATGCAGCCTTTGAGAAGGATGTTACTTGCAACAAGTCCATTTGTGTGTTAAATACTATTTTGTCCGTTCATCATAATTTTGTAGCTTTCATTTAAGACTTTGCGTTCACTTTCATGTTGCTCAAACTTGCTGTGTTTTGAGAAATTTTCACTATATGTTTCCTCAAATGTGTTTTGCACTATTATTTAGAGTCCAGAAAAACTTCTAGACAATGATCCCTCCTTTTTCAGTCGCTTTAACTTAGTGGTTGCAACCCAGCTACCGGAAAGGTAAAGAATCATTTGAAGTATTTCTTTTTTTTTTTTTTTTTTTCATTCAGTTGTAAAAACAGCTTTCAATCGCAGGTGCATTCTGGGTAAATTACGCAAAGCAAAGCCCTTCCCTTGTGAGGGAGGGTTATAGCAAATGATGACATTTTTCTGTGGACCTTTTCATATGTTAATATATAGTTTAAAAAATCTTTCAGATCCATAAGTGACTCCTAGGTGCTATTTTCTGCTATACTTGTGTGAGTCCAATATTTTTCTGTAATGGAAGTTATTTCTGGTCCGAAAGTGTTATAACAAATATTCTTCTTATGTAAAACAGAACCTGATCTGAGTTGCCTTTAGATTTTTTGTGAATGTATTTTATCATTCATATAGCTCTTTCCATTTTGTCTGTGTATGTAATTACAATGCACGTTTAAACCTTAAGACCAGAAGTTATTCAAATTTTTTTAACCTGTGCTTTCTCAGAGTCCTCTCTCATGCTGCCTTCCAGTAAACAGTAGAACTTAAAAATGAGTATGCTCAGAGCAGTGAGAAATTTAAGGGAGCAGAGCATGATTCCATTAATTTGATTAGAATTGCCTCTACTAGGAGTTATATTTGTCTGTGCAGCTCACAGGTCTAATTCTTTTTTTTTTTCTTTATCCTTCCTCTTTTACAACCCTTGTAAGCGTTCTGTTTAATTGATGCTCAAAGTATTTCAAACAATGGAGTTAAATATGAGTAAGCTAATAGACAAACGTAATTCCAGAATATTATAATGTCATAAAATTACTATCCTTTATTTTGTGCTTAAAATCATAATAATGGTATTAGAATTGTTGTCATAGAAAACTTACCTTACACAAATAACTTTTCTGGTTAAGTACTGTTGTCCTCTTGTACATGTTTTAAAAAAAAAAAAATGTTTTTGTTTACAGTACCTTGCTGCGTTTAGCTGAACTTCTCTGGAACTCTAACATTCCTCTGCTGGTCTGTAGGACTTACGGACTGGTTGGGTATATGAGAGTCATTATTAAAGAACATCCAGGTAGGAGAGCTTTTTGAAATTAAGACCTTTTTTTATTGCTTCTGTATGCAGTGTCAATTTGTGATTTTTTCACTGTTATCTTGTGAGGTATTTAGTATTTGTTAACTCCTGTGTAGTTTGCAGCTCTTCACTGTGAGCATTCTTTGGAAAGTACATATAAATTATGGACTACAACAAATAGTAAAATTGGAGGTTCTCCTCTGACATTAGACTGTTATCCTACACAAAACACTTGTTTTGAGAATTAAGCAGTTACATGAGCAAGCAATATATTGCATTTGATGTGTACCCCTCTTTTGAGGGCTGGAGATGAAAACATGGAATAAGTTGTTTAACTTTTTCATAGTTATTGAATCTCACCCTGACAATGCGTTAGAAGATCTGAGACTGGACAAACCATTTCCAGAATTGAGGGAACATATTCAGTCTTATGACTTGGATCATATGGACAAAAAGGTTGGTATGTGGTTCATGTGCTCTGAAGACAGATGCAGGCATAGAACAGGGGCTCTATGAGAATGACTCTTGGCGAATGACTTTCTTTTGGTGAAGGCCTTATCTGGGCAGAGGCAACTGTGTAGTCAGTCATGAGGTAGTACTTTAAGCCTATACCGTAAATGTTACAGTTTGTATTTCAATCTTGAGCTAGAGGGATTTTACAAAGTGAGTAATATTCATAGACAATTTTTTTAGAGTGTATTTTTTTATAATTACTTACTGCTACTGAGCTTTGTAGTATGGGTGTTTATGCATAATATAGTTCCACATCAGAAAAATTTTTGAGAACTTGCTTCAGCCATGCTTTCAAGTAAAGTAATTGTAATTTGTTTCATAGTAGTTGAAGAACTGTATTTCTGAATCCAAGTTTGGAGCATGTCCTATCTGGTCAGGTAGTGGAAGGGATATTATTCTAATACTAATTTACCTTTAAAATAGATTGTTAATTTGTCTTCTGTCTCTTCTCTCATAAATTTTACAAAGATTTCTCTGTTGTTCAATTACAGGACCATAGCCACACTCCATGGATTGTGATTGTAGCCAAGTATCTAACAAAATGGTTCAATGAGGTATATTGCAAAACAGGATAAGTCATCAATGTACTTTTATTATTATTACCATTATGTTAAACTTGTCTTTTCAAAACTAGATTATTATTTTGGCAACTTGTAACCAAGAAAACAAAGTGAAATCATAAAAGATATTGCTGATTGAAATGAACGTAACTGAACTTTGACAGACTCTTAGAAATTAGTAGTCGGAACACCATGAGATTAGTATTAGATATTTTCAAGACAAGTAAAATCTTTTTGTTTTTAAATTTAGAAAAGTGATCAGTTGCCTAAGAGTTATAAAGAAAAAGAAGCCTTCAGACAACTGATTAGACAAGGTAATATATGTTTTAGGAATCATATTGTCAGAGTGGTGGATATATTAAGGCAGTAGCTTGACTTTAAAAGTATGTGGAAGTTCTCTCAGGGTTACCTTATGAAAATCTGGTGGTGTATAAAGTACAATTCTTCTGTTAAGTTATCGCTATATACAGAAGGTTGTTTTGATCCTGAATTGCTGATAAATTCAGTTTGGCTGTGTTTCTTTCTTGTTTAAAGAGTACAATTTGGTTGGGAGCGAGAGGCACTGAGAGAATCCCACAGAAAAATTTAATGGTTAATACTAAGAATGGGATAAAGTGGAAATCAAGTGCTTTTAACACTGGAACTGTTGTTAAGTGGAAGTATTAGCTGGCTAGTTGGACCACCAAATTGTTGATAACCATTTAAGTTACGAATGATCAGTGATGGATGTGCAGTGTTTCGGCCCTCCCTCCCTCCGTCGTCTTCCCTCTATATGCTGATTCTGTATGGAAAGAAACTGGGAGAATACAGGCTGAGCAAGGGATTATGAGGCTACTGAATATGCTGTCATTAGTCTGTGAACAGAAAACTCCATTTATTCAAATCTGTCAGTACAGTGCCTTTTGCAGGTGCTAAGATTTTTGAGCTATTTTTAAAAAATGGTTTAGGTAATGTATTTACATTATCTTAAATGACTAAAAACACGAACTGAATTTTTGAAACTCCCTTATTATTTAAAGCCAACCTGTGTGCAAATTGCTGCGAAGAGTGTGTGGGGGAGAGAGTGCTGCGAAGAGTGTTTTTTTTTTTTTTTTTTTTTTTAAATAATCTTCATCCCCAGGTTGGATTAGGGGACTGATCTGGTTGAAAAGACATAATTACCTACTGGGAAGTTGGTTGTTGTTGGATCACTTTCTTGATCTGGCTTGCCATGTGGGTTCATGAGCATTTGTGCTAATGTAACAGAAGTGGGGGGGGAAATATGTATGACTAGGAATAGGAAGAAGAGTTGAATTGCTTTTTTACTGACATCTGCATTCATTTAGTGATTATAAAACTGGATTCTTCATTTCTCATACAAGTCAGTTGATACTTTTCTAATAAGTGACTTTTGTTTAATATTACAGGAAATAATCACATGCAGACTCCCTGATGGAATTATGTATTTAGTTTTATCAGTATGTCTTACTGATAATTGGATGTTTTAATGATATGTCATTATGCCACAAATGCATCCAAAGCCAATCTGCTTCATTGATAAAACCTAAATGATAAGCTCAAATTCATGGGATTCTATATTGATTTCTTTTTTCAATAAGGTATCCTAAAGAATGAAAATGGGACCCCAGAAGATGAAGAAAACTTTGAAGAAGCTATAAAAAATGTGAACTCAGCATTAAGTACTACAAAGGTAAAAATAAGCATAAAATAAGCTTGAAGTGTTCAAAGAACTGGAAATATTAAGTGCTCCATTTTTTTCAGAGCCTATTATCTGCTTGTAGGACAGAAATTGCACCTGCAACATGTATATTTAGGTACAACAGGAGTAGTACAACTTTAAAATTTAAATCATGCCATGTAAAATAGGCCTCGATTAGCCTGCAGTGTAGCCTAGGGCAAATCTTTATTTGCTGTTGATGTACTGAATTCAAGTATAGGACAAGTCAGCATCCAGAGTTTATTAGTAATGTATCCCTATCTTAGAAATTTACGGTTTCATTGATCTGCTTTTCTTTACAAAAGAAAATCCAATAAGTGATTTAATATAGTTATACTGAACTAGCAATCAGTATAGCTAATGTCTGGTTTCAGTACATTATTAAGAGGGAAACACAGTAAGCAACTGTGCTGTATTGAGCCTACAGTATTCATTCTGTTCCCAAATGAAGGGCAGTAGGGGACTTGTGGGGCATCAGATTGATTATTCATCTTAAATAAGCATGTAACAAAATTGTTTCCATAAACTGGTGAAGCTTGAAAACACTGAAAGGGAAGGGTTTTTTTGTTTTTTTTTTTTTTAAGTCCTGAGGTACTACCTCGTAGTTGGGATTGACCTAGGATTTTATTTAAGAAACATAAACTATAGCTGTAATTGCATCAGTTGGCTTAACGCTTTAAAGTGGCTTTAGTGCTCTCATCTGTGATGCTACTCTAGTTAACACTAAGTTGCAAAAGCTGTCTGGGGTGAAAGCATGTTCTGTTATGCCATTTCTAGATTGCATTCCATTTCTATTTGAACTGTGCTGATACTTGCTTAGGCAGTCAGAGGTTAAGTCTCTCAGGAAAGCAGCAGGTAAAACTTTGTATTGACATCTGAGCCACTACAGTCTGTGTCCCAGGATATTAACGTTGTCTTTCAGTGTATATGCCAGACTGTAAACTGCAGTGGTTAAGAAGACAGAGCGCTTTCACTTTTGCTGGCTGTGTTTCTCTTTGATTCACCTGCTTTTTTTGCTGCCTTACCTCTAGCAGGTAGGATGGGCAGCTGGGTTTGGTAATACCTTGTATTGATGTGGCTACTGCTTTTTAAGCTCTCTTCCATTTCAAAGAGGTAAATAAGGTGAGGTTTTGTTCATAACATTCTTCTTGATCAGAAGTGTGTATCTTATTTTCAAGCAATACTATTTGAAATTTGTCCGGTACACAAAACTCAAAAAAGATTACTTTCATTTGAAGCTCTGAGGTCACTTAGGATTGGATCATCTACATAGTAAGTGTCGAATTATTTCGAGGAAGAGAAAGTCAAGTAAATACAAATCCGATGTAACTTTTTTCATAGATTCCAAGGTGTATTGAAGAGATTTTTAACGATGAGTGTTGCGTCAATCTCACAAACCAGGTAATAAGTAAAGGTAAGACTGTTAAATGTAGGACTAGTGTTATAAATAACATTTGTATAGATGACTGTCTGTTATATGTTTGCAGTCATCCTCCTTTTGGATTTTGGCTCGAGCTGTAAAGGAATTTGTGGCAAATGAGGGGCAAGGAAGCTTACCTGTTCGGGGCACTATTCCTGATATGATAGCAGATTCTAGTAAATTTATCAAATTGCAAAATGTGTAAGTATTCAAGTTTTTCTTTAATGCTTATTAATGATAATGAGAAGTGGTGACTTTAGACCTCACAGAGCAGATAAAATCCTAGAGAGAGAGAGAGAGAGAAAGTGTGTGTTTGTGTGAGGATAACGCTGCAGCGTTGGCCCATCTGCTCTCTGCTATCTGCTGTTTGAAATCAGGATCTAAATCTTCCATACCTCTCTGTTTTCTAAGGTTGGGTAGTAAGTGATCACTTTTTCTTAACTATAAATCTACTGAAGAACTTATGAGGTGGTAGAGCTCCTCCTAGTCAAGCTACTGCAATGCAGAACCTGTTCCTAAAGCAAATGTTGCTGAAACACAGCTGTTGTCTTTCCCCCGTATGTGTGTCAACGTGGCTGTAGAAATGGTAGTTTCCTGATTTATTTATAAGTACTTAATTTTAACTAATCTCCCTTGAAGGGATTTCTTGGCAGATAATAAGGATGAAGACTTGGTGAATGAATATCTTAACTGCAAACACTAAACAGCATCAGTAAGGTTTAAGATTTAGGAAAGCCATCTTGCATACATGTATCCTCCGTATGACCTTACCACTGCTGTGTGTCTTGGACTTGGTGCAGGTCTTCTGGCCAAAAGACCTTTTTTCTGGTCTTGACATCTCTTCTTTGCAGTTGATTGCCTCTTTCTTGTTCTTTGTCTATGCAGTTCTACTGAGGGTTTTCTAGGCTCCGACTTGCTCTCGTGCCAGTATGAAAGTATGGAGAAGCAATCAGAATTTGTTTTAAACAATAAGTTCTGAAATACAACCTGTGCTAGAAAGAGGACTGTATGTCTTTAATAGTGTTTACTAATCAAAATTTAAACTGTAATTTTAAAGATATGTTCCTTAAACTGACTGCCACAAATAGCATTAAAAAGATGGATATAAAAATATCAAATTTTAAACATCTAAAAATTTATTGTTACTTCTCCATGGAAGTTACTCTGTATAAAGAGAGTAAATCCAAGAACCTATGTTGTTATTTTGCCAAACAAAATCATAATCACTTGAGTTTCCATAGATAAAACCTAACTTGTAAATTTGTATTTTATAAGTATCAATCCTGAACTTGAAAATCATTATCTACTTTAGTTCATATTCCAAATAAGCATTATAATATAAGGTCTTAATTCCCTGATAAACGCTTTCAGATGCTCAAAATGAGCTCTTTACCACAGTTCTTCAAAAAATTAATGCAAACATTTGAGCAACACAGTATTTCATGAAATTCAATTTATGTACTATGGTTAAACCTATATTAAAATACAAAAAAGTAATTAGCAAAAAAAGCCCAAGGAAGTACTAATAGCTACTTGTTCTGAAACATTTTCCTAATATTCTTCCTTGTTTGTAGTAATATTCCTTTTACTATTAATGGTTGCTAAGAACACTGTTACGCATGTGGTTTTTAAGCCTGCATGTTTAGTAAACAGTTCAGAGCCTCTGCAGGACAGTTTTAAGGCGGTAATAAGTGCATTCATGGCTCTTGAGGTTGCTCACTTCCATTCATATTGATCGTATCTTATCCTTACAATATAAGACAAAAAAACTTTCTCCATATTAAATTTAAATTGATAATTTTATGCGGTAATCAATAAGGCTGTTTTTATTAACAGATACCGTGAAAAAGCAAAGAAAGATATTGCTGCTGTGGGTAACCATGCTGCTAAATTGTTACAGTCCCTAGGCAAGGTATGGTTGAATGTACAGTCTGACAACTGAAATAATTTTTTTGTGATACATATGCAGAAACAAGTCAAAGGAGCCAGATATAAGAAGAGCAAACTTAATTATTTCATTCTCTTGGACAGTTCTAATGTAACTTCACAATATCTGTGGTCTTTTTTATCTGTCACTTTTGATGTGGTAATACAAAATGAAAGTGAAAGGTGTACAGGGATTTATTAGTTAAAATTTCTAATTCTTTTTGTTAGAAGAAGACATAGTTATTTCAGAGTGAGTATGTGAATATCTCTGGCAACAAATTCTCTGATAATTGTTTGTGTTGAAACCAGTATATTCTTCTTTCTTTTAGGCACCTGAGCTCATTTCAGAAAGAGAATTAAAGTTGCTCTGTGAGTATGCTTGGATTCTGTTGCTGTGTTTATACGAATGATGAAACATTCAGGAAGTTTTGAATGATAACGTACTTATTACTAGCTCAATATATGAATTTTTTTTTAAAAGTGCTCAGAATCTCCCAGTATCTTGCATCTCTCATCCTCAGTGGAAGTTAGTTGTTCAACATTTCTCAGTCCATGAAGGCTTTTGGAGGCAGATGCATTCCATATGCCTTAACTACAACAATAAAGCTTAAAAAAATACAATTCTTTGGGTCCAAACAGAAGGTATCCTCTACTTTATTATTAGTATCTAATCACTTTTGCTTGTTCTGTGATACTGACTTCGGAGTGCAGATTCAGTCAACTTCCTGCAGTCTGAAAAAGTAAAATAAAGATGCAGTACTGTTTATGACAACTTAGGTTATGTCTGTTATGGATACATACATGTGTTCATACAGCTGAGTCTGAGTCTCCTCAGAAGTGGAAAATTTGCCTCTAAGCAGGTAGGCAAGAGCATGTTGCCCCTGCATTGAAATGTCTTTTGCTGCAGTTTTTGACAGTCTTATGGAGCTCCTCATTTTTTGAGTGCCTGGTTAGTAGCTGCTCATTGGTTTGGTTCATACAATTGATAGTGGTGGATAACCTCTTCTTGCTTGTAGCTGCACTGTTAGAATGTTAACTGAGAACATGTAAGACAGTGTTAGATATGGGGGAAGATAAAAAGAACCCATGTTCATTTGTAGCATGGAAGAGGAAAACATCAAGCTGATGGCTGTGATCCTATAAAGGAAAGTCACACATTGTGAGTTTTTACGTTCACACAACAGATACGTTTAGATTCTAGAAGTAAATATTTTGCTAAAATACCTGTGATCATAGATCTAAATGTAGTCTAAGAGAGTTTATTACTTTGACCTGCCTGAAGAAATGGGAAAGGGTTAAACAAAACTATCCATGATAAGTTTTAGTCTTTTCATGTTTAGCAGATCAGAGAGACAGACACATCGAGTTAGTAACTAATGATGCATTTAAGTAGGTAATGTTCTCCTTTCTGCACCTTCTGCTCAGGCAGCAATTCAGCCTTTCTTCGAGTAGTGCGATGTAGATCTCTGTCTGAAGAATATGGTTTAAACACTTTTAACAAGGATGAAATTAGTAAGTATTCCTTTTTTTGCACATACTTTAATTGCATTTTCAACTTCAATTCTTTTTGATCACAAAATCATTCTATATCTTATTCTACTTCCATATGCAGTTTTATAATTTGGCATCAGCAGTATTCTAGATGCATAGTTTTAATAAGTCTAGAATGTTGGATTTGGTTTTACTTTGAAATCTCAAAAATGACCTTATGGATTAATGTATGTTCTAGTTTTCCCCATACATGTTTTATTTTAATACCATGTAGGTTAAACATTCTGGTTTTCTTTAAACTTTACTATATCTCAGTTATTTCTGTTAGAGCTGGAAAGATGTTTTTACTTGGGCAAAGATTTGAGAACAGTTGTCTTGGACTCTTTCAGAACCCAGGGATCTGGAAAATGCTGAGCTGTGTCTTAAGGAACTTTAAAATCTGTTGTGTAATTGTAGTCATTACGGTTAAATATGTAAAGCATGCATTGCAAGGCCTAAAATACTAAGGAAATATCTCATTTAAAGTTATAGCAGCTGGAAAAGTTGAAATATGCAAATATTTTCACTTACCAGAGGTTATATGAAATACGTACAGTATCATCTTGTCATGCACCCTCTGGATTCCAGGTTGTATATTTTGACAGTTGACTCAGTTTCAGTTGCAGGCTTTTTTGGCTAAGATATCTGCTTCCTGCAGAAAATAGATCAAAAGTTTTTACAGTTTAAGCACGTGGAAATATTTGATTGTTTTGAAGTAACTTAATCTTTTTTTTTCCATTACATCTGTACCAGCTAACAACTTTTCTCCCCATTTTTCAGTTTCCAATATGGATAACCCAGACAATGAAATAGTTCTGTACTTAATGCTACGAGCTGTAGATAGATTTTATAAGCAGCATGGTAGATACCCAGGTAAGTTAATACCAGTTAGATATGTCATTATAAGAAACACAAAAAATCTAATCACTATCACAATACTAGGTATAAACTATAAATTAAGTATTTGTATTTCTGTATTAATATATGATTTTTAGTGCAAAACTTAAAGTGAGAAGTTTTTCTTTTTGGAAACTTGATGAATTTATCTGGATTGATAGTGCTGGTGTGTTATGAGTTAATTCAGCTATGCACTAATTTCTTACCGTTAGTGGAAATATTTAATAAATATGTTGTTTAGTATTACAAGTTTAGTATATTAATCACCTCAGAAATAACTTTAAAAATGTAAAATACGTACATTGCCACTTTAAACCCATTAATTTTGAATATGGTGTTAGTTATCAACTGTTTCATCGCATAACTTACTTTCCAGGTGTCTACAACTATCAGGTAGAAGACGATATTGGGAAACTGAGATCTTGCCTCACTGGTTTCCTACAAGAACACGGGTTGTCTGTAGTCGTGAAGGATGACTATGTTCATGAATTGTAAGTGTTGTATGATAATTGTCACTTTTCAGGTCTGTTTTACAGACCAAGGAAAATACTAATTGTTACTCTGCTATCTAGTTGTCGCTATGGAGCTGCTGAGCCACATGCTATTGCTGCGTTCATGGGAGGTAAGAATGTCACTGTATTTCTAAGGTTCATTTAAAAACAAGTGCACTGTAGTAGTGTCACTTTTGAATTGGGATCTCACTGTTTTAATTCCTTTGCAGTGTTAGAAGAAAGACTGTAATCATAGGCTGGTGTCTAAGATAGCATTAGAACAAAATCTTTGCCTTTTCATTTCTCTAGACCTGGCCTCCTACAGTGTATAGAAAACTGGGCATAACTGGGGTTTGAGGTCAATGGAAGACACAATGTAAACTTACGAAATAACCTCAGTGAACAGTTACAGCAGCTTAAAAAAATGTGTAAATTGGAAAATAACAATTTTGATTAAAAATAAAGAATAGTAGTAATATTAAATATGTTAATTTAAATAAAGATGTATTTGTAATTAATTTTATGTTACGTATCTGTTATATAGGGATAGCCTTGATTGCTTCCCTTAATTCAACCTGCAGGTGGTATTAAAAATGTTTCAATAGATACTTGAAGTATGAGTTTGAGTTACTTCCGTTATTTGGCTTTGTGTGGTGCTAAAGATATTAAGTATTAAATGTTACATGGGTGTCAGAATTTTTTTTTCCTCTGGTTAAGCAAAATTTGAAATGTGTGTAAAGATAACTTGTGTTCTGAAGAAATTACAAAATACTTCATCTTGCAGCAGCACACAGGGATCAAAGTGAAGTGACCTCTTTATTTTGCAGTTTAAAGGGGGAAAACTATATATAATTTTCTTAATTGAGCTTTTCAATTTCAGTCACTTAGAAAGGTAACTATTTGTGTCGGTTTGTGCATGCACACACACTCTTACAAATTTTTTTACCTGTTTTGATAAGATAATTGCAGTATATAGAAGGTATGTATAGTAAAGTGTATGCGAAGCTAACTTTTAAAGCCACAAGCTTCTTGAGACTGCTTTGTATTAGCAAGTACTGAAAAGCATTTTACCCTGCAGTTGCAGCAAGCTATGTCCAATTTTTAGTGTATTGAGTTCTAGATGAAATACTTCTATTGGTTTTAAAGTACGACCTGCTAACTCCATTTTATCTCTTCCCCCTTCCCTCCCCCTCCCCTTTTCCAGGAGCTGCTGCTCAGGAGGTTATCAAAGTCATTACAGGGCAATTTGTAATTTTTAACAACACCTATATTTACAGTGGAATGTCACAGACTTCAATGACTTTCCAGCTGTAGAATAGCTGTATCACACTTGTTGCCACCAGGCTGTGCTGCTGTGTCTTGTAAATATTGTTACTGTGGCATTTTGCCGCTGACTGGACTGTTCTGTATTATCTGAAAATCAAAGTTTCCTTTATTTGTAACAATTTTACCATATTTTATGCTGCGGACAAATAAAATCATACCAAATGCTGATTTTTTTTTTTAATGTAAAAATTTCTGATTTCCATTTGGAGAAAAAAAAAGCCCTTTGGAACAGTAGGTTGCATTTACCAGTTTACCTGTTTAAACGGTCTCCCTGGTTTGCTGTAGAGATGAATTTTACAAAACTGCGTGTTTCAAATAAGCTGCTACTCGGATTGGGGGAGAGAGGGCTTATGAAACCTTGGAGAGGGTGAGAGAAGTCGCGTTGGCCGGTCCCTGCCCTGCCGGGCGGGGCCC